AGCGAAACGATCGCTCATTTAATAAATAAATAACAAAGTTTAAGTTTTATAAGCTCAAATGGTCGCCTTGCTCTGTTCTGTGACACACGTTCGTGACTCTCCTGTTCGAACTCGTTTATCAAAATGAACAAATCTTTTCCCGAGTCAAATCGTTTGTTTTGTTTTGAATGAACCAAATGACATGAAAAAGATTTGTTTATTTTTATAACATAACATATGAAATATGCTTTTCAAAAGGCAGGTTGCAGTCTAATGTAACACCCAGGTCTTTTACTGTAGCGGATAAAGTAACAGGACATCCTAATATGTTAAAGTCATTGTGCATTTTTTTAAATTTTTTTTTAGAACCGATTAATATTACCTCTGTCTTGTCTAGATTTAATAAAAGAAAATAACGCGTCATCCAAAACACACACAGAAGGGACCAAAGGTTTGTTCAAATGACTAATCCAAAGAATGAGCAATAGAAGTACTGATGCTTGCCCCAGCAAACCGCAATTAGAAAAGTACAAAAGGGAATGTGACAGATACACAAATACAGATAGACAACAGAAAGGGATCTAGCTGTAAATGATTTTAGGGACATTTATTTGATACCCTAGTTTTGCTTGCCTATGACAGACCCTTAGTGTTCAGCTCAGTGTCAGAGCTCTGATGTGAACGCTTGAGGCCCGATTCAAACCCAACAGCAATTGCATGTTTACTTCCTTTAATTTGCTGTCAAAGAGATTCTCTATCACCTCAGCGAGTGTGTGTGTGTGTGCAAGTGTCAGTACAGTGAGATAGAAACTAAACAGTTGAGAAGAGCCATATGATGAAAGATCTGGTATGCAGATATACATGTATCACATGTACAAGTCTACAGGTTTCAACTTTTTAGCTTAAGAAAGTTTTTTTTCTTAGTTTATACATCTTAGTTTATAAATATATTTCAGTCCTGGGACTGTAGCCTGATTGGTTTGTTCGCTGAAGAATTCGGCCTCAGGGCAAACCGTTCCAATCTCATGTATCTTTCGACGGTCCCTTGCATAATTATTCAAATATTTCACCAGTCGTATATCTTCAATGTTGACAGAAACAGGATCATGTCAAGAAGAAAGGAATTACACGTAAGCCTGATTTGAACTTCACTAACATTATGAAAGTAAGAACATAGGGGAGGATCTCTTATTATCAGTGATATCAGCGGTTTTTCAAATGCACATTGTACTTTTATTATGTATTTCTATGTAGTATTCTACGTAAAAAAAAGAAGCAACCAAATACAAATTATTTAACACTCAGGACTAGCTGGAATTCACAGATGCAAAATTCAGATTTGGGGTGGCAATATGCAAATGTTCTTAAAATTTACTATTAATCCACTAATCCAATGAATTTGAATTATTATTTTTGTTTTTGCAGTGCTTTGAACAGTTACTTATAGTTGTCTCTCCATGTCAAGAAAGCTATCAATCGTTGAAAATCGTCAGTGTGTCAAACCGAGCTGAGAGTAGGCTACTATATGCTCTAATTGTGCAGTTTTGTACTAAAAGAGGGGTTTTGCAGGACTTTGTGAATGGTGTTCCTCTTTTTGCAGAGCTTTACCGTGCACTTCTGCAGGTGTAGATTCGGTGTGGGCCTGCTAATAAGCTTAGTTCAATTGTAGTGAGGGAGGATCAAGTCTAAGCTTCTTTACCACACGAAAAAAGGGAGTTTAACACTTAAGTAACTAAATCACAATTACAAATGAAGCTGCGAAGGTGGGTCACATTAGATTAGCCACCTTAGCCAATTAGCAATATGCGTCAGCTACAAAATATATGTCTGACGTGTTCCAGAGAGGCCAGATTGAACGTCAAAATTAGTATTAAAAAAAGTCTTCTTTACAGAGACATTGGAGAGGGATGCTTACGAGAGATTAAAGATTGAAGGGATGGTTCACACACACACACACACACACACAAAAAACGTGTTTCGTTCCCAACACGTTTATTATGGTGTTTTACGCAGCACGTTTGAGCTTTAATCTCTCCATCATATAAAGCAATCAAGTCTTTTCAGAAAATTTTGACAAAACCACTCAATTGATTTGTTTTATAAACTCATTATGAACATTTTGAAGCATCAAAACGTCAGTTTTGAGTGATTAACCATTTAAAGGGATACGGTATACTGTCCTTGTCCAGAAAGGAAATAAAGACATCATCAAAGTAGTCCATGTGACATCAGTGGGTTAGTTACTATGTTTTGAAGCATCAGAAATAACAAAAACTACGACTTTATTCAGCATTGTATTCTCTCCCGAGTCTGTTGTCAATCCACTTCAGTGACGCTGATGACGACATTGTAATCCGGTGTAATCTAGTAACCTAGTAATTCGGGTTCAAATAAATATGGCTGGGCAAAAAAATACAAGTGTTCCTCTGTGTGGAAATCCTTAGACATGTTTGTGAAGATTGTTTTGTACAGCGTGTTTCCCTCAGACTGTAACCGAAGCTCAGCCGCGGCACTGAACCGAACAGAACCGGAAGAGAATACAATGCTGAATAAAGTCAAATTTTTTGTTATTTTTTGGCCAAAATGCATTTTCGATGCTTTAAAACATTCGAACTAACCCACTGATGTCACATGGACTACTTTGATGATGTCTTTATTTCCTTTCTGGACAAGGACAGTATACCGTACACACATTTCCAATGGAGGGACAGAAAGCTCTCAGACTAAATCTTAAATATCTTAAACTGTTCTGAAGATGAACGGAGGTCTTACTGGCTTGGAACGACATGAGGGAGTCATAAATGACATAATTTTCACTTTTGGGTGAACTAACCCTTTAAGCCTTGAACCATTGAACATTTCCATCATTACTGGCCTGGAAAAAAAGAAGAAAAAATGACAATTAATTTATCACCAATCTATAGTTATCCCTTGTGAAAACTTGTGAAAGCCCAAATAACTGTTAAAAAAGTTAAAAATGTATTGACATTTATGAAATTTGCCCTTATCCTGAGAAAACAGGCTTTTTTAAATATTGATTGTAAAGTTGGCTTTTCCTGAATTATATATATATATATATATATATATATATAAAAATAATAGAATGAACAGAATTTACACATTGTAATTAATTTTTAGGTGTTTTAAATGTACACACAAAACCACAGCCAGATAAAACTGACATTTGTGTAATTGGAAGGTGAACAGTAAATCTTGTGACAACTAGCCCCGGTCTCCTGTAGGTCACAGCATATGGTCTTATGTTTTTGCCCCGCAGGCTCTCTCACAGTAAAGACAAATACACTATTAAATCTGTTAAACTGGCTCAAGCTCAGTGTTTTCATTCCATACTGTAGGAGTCACTCCACATTCCTGTTACAACTTCATTGTGGTGCATAAAAATCTCCTTTCCAAAACCACAGACCCATGTGTTATGAATTAAACCTCTGTTTGTTCTCATTTACAACATTTCTCTCCCTTATCCCTATACCTTCCTTTGCATGTACCTCTCGCTCACGCTCTCTTTTCCACATTTTGTGTTGTAAAAGCAGCGTTTAATCACGATGAAAGCATTCCACTACAAAGCATTGGAGGATTAGGTTGCCATTGACGACCAGCTGTCAATGGTCCACCGTTACGTCACCGTTGGGGGATTTTCCACCCGAAAAGGGGGTTACGGCTTTTATACGTGCAGATAGTTACCGCCCACTTGTGGCACAGGGCACCCAATGAACTTAAAGCAGCGTCTGGAGGCGGGCGGTGATTGGTCTAGCGCGTCTGTGAGCCCCTCCCTCCTGTCAGGTTCAATAGAATCTGATACGCGCGCTCTGGCTCGCGGCGTGGGCGGAATCCCCTCGGTCAATTTATCAGCGATTCACACACGAACTGTAACACTGAATGTCACACTCACGCGTGTCCCGCCCACCGCGTTTGCTCATAGACAAGAAAAACGCCTGCCAAGAACCATCATATCCAAAAGAAATACATCCCTCCTCAATTTTTTTTTTTGGCGCTTCAGTGTCTCTCATGGATAATATGATGTAGGGGTGGAGATTATCTACCGACATGCGATCATGAATAGCTGCTCCCAACTGTTTTTCATGGGAACCCATCATGTGGGCAGTAATGCACGCACGGTCAGTGCAGGTCTCGCGCATGGCAGTGTGCGCGCGGGGGTTTCACGCACTCTGGTCACATCCCTCCGCCTGTCAAAGCAACAGGTTGCATTGGTATATACGAAAATGAACACTGAGGAAAAGAATACAGACAAATAAATGCAATTATAAATAAATTCCAGTCCAAATGCATTGCTATTTCGTTTTTTCTTCTTCTTAAAACATCCTTCAATCTTTTGAGATACTGTATAAGCAGCTTTAACATTATTAAGCTATAGTATAGCATGTTCCCTTTCTAGTTCACGAGTGACTATTGCATTGTTCTGACAAATTACTTTTTTCTTTTTTTCTTTTTTTTGCCCACTGATATCTTTGACAAAGTTATCCATATAATTCAACTATTCACTTTTCAACTTTTATTTGTTATTTGTTAGATTTAATACTATTGAGTTATCCTTGTTTATTTATTCTAATGTCCCCATTTGTATTGTTTTTAGGGTTAACTGCCTTAAAAATAGTTGAATATTATATGACATAGAAAACTTTAATTTAAGCAATGTAGAAATATATGTTGCATAACTTATTAATCATTCATATCATATAATTTTTACAGTGCATAACTGATAGACAGTAATGTGTCTTTGGGTCTATCAACATTTTTGTCAATCTTGTAAGATTTGTAATGTAATTATAAGCTATTGAATTAAAAATGCACGTATAATATAGCCTAATTAGTTGAAACAAAAGTCGTTTCTTTTAAAGTATATAAACTGGATGTGTCACTTGCTATAAGAGATGGTCGTGCGCATGTAAATCTTTCTAAAGAGGCATGCATGTCGTACGGTTGAAGATGCGCGTCCTCCGGATAAACCTGTTCTGGAGGGAGTGACTTGATTCAAGCGCCGTCCAATTATCTGATAGCAGCATTTATCCGCCGCTACAGCCCCGTCTAGTCATCCGAAAACAGGCGTGAACCGATGTGGAAGGAATGCTCGTCTGAATGTTGTATCTAACGAAAAGGAAAGAAAAAAGAAAACGTGTGGAGAAATTTGTTATCGCGGCTGAATTGTGGCGCTCCATCCACGCGACGCGACCCTATTTTTAGGGCGCTCTCGCCGTGTCTACTATCAGTAATAGTGACTGCGCTCGCGTGAGAGACCGCTCACAAATCTGCAGAGAGAGAGAGAGAAAAGGGGGACGGGAGAGCTCCAGACAAACGGAAACTGTGGCCAGACTCCAGAGGAAGTCAATTGATTTCGCCCTTCTTGATGAGATAGATTTACAAGCTTTGCCCAGCGTGTCTGTCAGACCGTCTGTCAAAGCAATCAACAGTTGGTGCGAGCGCGCGCGCGATTAAAGGGACTTTGCATGCACGAGACGCTTCAGTGATGGGTGTGTGATTTCAGCACCTCAGTCATATGGACACCCGCTTGCGTGTGACTGAATCGTTCAGTAATATGGAAGACAGATTGTTGCATATCGTGATGCATTGGATGCTTTTGCGTGTTTAGTACATTACAGCAGACAAGAATGAGCAGTCTATTCGCGGCTCCCGGTGCTTTTGCTTTTGTTCACGTATTGCATTTCGTGTGAGAGAAAAAAGAAAAGACTACAGACAGAGAGATCACACACAGTCCATCTTTACTGGATTTAAGGGTGCATTGTTGTTTTCCCTTGACCTTGCCTTTCGAGGCGCGCAAGAAGCATGTTAATGATGGAGAGCAGCGGGATAGACGCGCATCAGGTTGAACTGGACGCCGACTATGAGCCGCACTGCCGCCCGAGGTCGTGCACCTGGCCACTGCCGTGTCCGGAGGAGGAGAGCCGAGCGCTGCCGGTGAAAGTGGAGCCGCGCAACGTGCCGGCGTGCCGGAGCGGAGGGGCGCCGACGGAGTTCAAGCATCCAGCCGGCGCCCCTGCCCCAATCGCGGCCGCCCCTGCGTGCATGTCCGGCGCCGCGCTGGATGTGGCCGGCCAGCTGCGCAAATCCAAGTCGTCGCGACGGAACGCATGGGGCAACCAGTCATACGCGGATCTGATCACGCGTGCCATTGAGAGCACCCCCGAGAAAAGGCTCACCTTATCGCAAATCTATGACTGGATGGTGCGATTTGTGCCCTATTTCAAGGATAAAGGAGACAGCAATAGCTCAGCCGGCTGGAAGGTAACGTTACACTTCCCACCTGATCATGCATGTTCTGCGCTCGTTATGTAGTTATTTCGCATTTATATACAAAAGGCTGTTCGCTTATGTCAGGTTTGACACGGAAATATCTGCTTCTTTTGTAACAACAATCATGCATTTAAACGTTTTTCTGAGGAATGGGGAGGTGAGCAGACGGAGTTCAATGAGTTCACAATATTTAAATCTAACATTTTGACTATTTATGACGAAACAATGCCGTTTGTGACGCATTAAGTTTGATTGTGACACCGTCCACGGTATGAGCTGGAGTGCGCGGGCCGCGCTCGTAAGCCGGGCAGGTCACCTGGGGGACACGCACGGGTCCGGTCAGCTTCCTCGCGCGTCGGCCACGCATGCACGCAAGCACGCCTGTCTGTCTGCTCTGAGATCTCCAGCACGCACCCTCCTCTCCTCCTCCTCCTCCTCTTCACCCCCTCCCTCTGCTGTCTCTTCTTCAGCCCTGACATCCATCCAAAAGACTATGGGAAATAAAATAGGCGGTGTAAAATTGTAATTAAAACATTACATAATCGAAAAGGGTTATTTAGTGAAGCAAATGCAACCGCATAATTGCACCACATTGGTTGGCAAAAGAATAAACCATCCTGAATATTTCAGCTGTTCATTTTTTTGTCATAGTGTCAAAGGTTTTAATTAGATCAGATTGGATATTTTGAAGTATGCGCATGCTCTCACTGTGTACATGCTTCATGCAGAACCCAAGGGACCTCTGTGTGTGTGTGTGTCTGTCTCTCTTTTTCCCTCAGCACCAACATCTAACTTTGAAAATGATAGTCAGACACAGCTGAATTTGAATTCGGTTTCTGCCTGTGGTTTGTGGCTTTCTGGTAAACATTTTAGATCACGAGATCATATCACAAAACATCCAAAGGCAAGTGACTTTTTATTGTAGATTTGGACCTTTCCTTTGAGTATGGCTTTTCATATATAAAAAAACCCTGGAAGGTTCACAGAATGCAAAAAATACAACATACAAAACCAGAAGAATTTTCATAAATTTAAAAAATATTTTAGAATTTTCAAAAAATATATATATATATATATATATATATATATATATATATGAAGACTTCAGATGTAAAAGCCTCTATACCATCTGAAATTTTATTCTAGAATGATAATTTTTATCAAGCTTGTATGTTTATGTTCATTTTTTTTTTCAAATAATGGCAATGACAATTACATATTAATTGTCATTAAAGTGAAATTACTGAACTTATAGAAATAGAAGAAAATTTCAGATGGCACTTAGAGGCTTTTGTATCTGAACTCTTCATATATATATATATAGCATATATATATATATATATATATATATATATATATATATATATATATATGAAGAGTTCAGATGCAAAAGCCTCTAAGTGCCATTTGAAATTTTCTTCTAGAATGATCATTTTTATCAAACTTGTATATTTAAGTTCAGTGATTTCACTTAAATGGCAATGATAATTACCTATTAATTGTTATTTAAGTGAAATTACTGAAAGTTTGATAAAAATCATCATTAAAGAAGAACATTTCAAATGGCATTTAGAGGCTTTTGCATCTGAACTCTTCATATATATATATATATATATATATATATATATATATATACATATATACATATATACATATATATACTTTGTACATATATATATATATATATATATATATATAATTGCTCAATTTATTCATGGTTTAGGAGGATGGCATGCATTTATTTGAGTTCCTCTCAATGTTTTTGTTTTTCAAAGTCTGTGCAATAGTTGATACACACAGGCCTTTTATTACATCATCAAAACAACAGTCTTTAATATCTCTAAATGCGATATTTATCTCACGCTAGATCCTTGTTTTCTCATTGGATACAGAGGGACAAAGAGATGGGCTAAACTAATCTTAAGCCTGTAGTTTTTAAACTGAAATTAAATCTGGTTTAATTCCTTTACGTCTTGTTTGTGCTGCCCAGGGATGCACAGCTGTATAACGTTCATATGTTCCCATAAGGCGAGAGATTTGATTGGCCGACGGGAGATCAAAATGGAGAAAAACAACTTGATTCAATCAAAATAAGGTTGTGGAAAACAGACCATGCTCACACATGTTGGCCCCATAACAGTTGGCGTCGGATTTTAATGCGCATTTAATTCTGACACATGCGGACCGTACGCTCACACAAACAATAAACACAAATAGGTATAAAACATGAAAACAGATATTTAGAATGTAAAGCACTCTCTCTCTCTCTATAGATGTGATAGATGGTGTTGATAATGGGACTAAATGTGGTTTGGAGCATAGAAAGGTCACATACAGTGGTTGACATTAAGAGCATTGATAGCTATTGTGTAATCCTGCATGTCTACACTGTGGCAGACACTTTCACGTCTCTGGCTTGGCCGTTTTTTGGCATCAATTAGCTGCTATTATTAGATCTGGGTTTCCTGTGACGGGTGGGATTATGGCTGTTGTGCGGTGGAGAACACGCATGGCTCATTTCAGTGACCGTTCCTGCAGGGATGCCTTGTTGGAGTGTTTCTCTTTTATGTTCACATTCTTTTAAAGTGTGTCTATGTGTCTGTGGTACAACATGAGGTTTTCAGATGAGCGTCTTGTGTAATAGTATACGGTAAGAGTGTGTCACGTCCTGTTACTGACTGTTGAGATGCTGAAAATCACTAATCAGATTTTCTCAATCCTTCCAAGTATTTATTGCGTTTATCTGAGATTTAATGTGATGGGAGCTCGTGTGTCTGCAGCAGTTTATAGGTTTTTCCAGACACAGTTCATATTTTGAAGATGTTGTCTGTATTTATATCAATACCAAGAGTTCAATTTTATAGCTCAGTTCTTGCTTTTTCAAAGGTCAGGAGACTTAACGAGATGAGTATCAATTTGTCAATTTGTATCAATTTGAACTGGAAAAAAAACCCCAATTGTTGACACACAGTGAGAGGTAAAGTGAATAGTGGCTCAGATCATTCAGAATGGGGAGATATTGATGAGAAACTTGAGATTAGTTGGAGCCTTTATTGAAAAGCAGGAGAAGAAGAACGGTAAAAGTCTCAATTTGATTCAATTTTCAAAAGACTCAATTTTCTCGATCTTTTCTTGGAGAATCAATTGAAGATATTAAGGAAGTCTCATTTTGTGATCGATCTATCTATCTATCTATCTATCTATCTATCTATCTATCTATCTATCTATCTATCTATCTATCTATCTATCTATCTATCTATCTATCTATCTATCTATCTATCTATCTATCTATCTATCTATCTATCTATCTATCTATCTATCTATCTATCTATCTATCTATCTATCTATCTATCTATCTATCTATCTATCTATCTCATCATCATGCATCCATCATCTGTCTGTGTCCATCCATCCAACCATCCATCTATCTATCTATCTGTCTGTCTGTATGTCCATCCATCCGTCTATCTGTCTGTCTATTTATCTGCCGTCTGTCTGTCCGTCCGTCCATCTATCTATCTATCTATCTATCTATCTATCTATCTATCTATCTATCTATCTATCTATCTATCTATCTATCTATCTGTCTGTCTGTCTGTCTGTCTGTCTGTCTGTCTGTCTGTCTGTCTGTCTGTCTGTCTGTCTGTCTGTCTGTCTGTCTGTCCGTCCGTCCGTCCGTCCGTCCGTCCGTCCATCCATCCATCCATCCATCCATCCATCCATTTGTCCGTCTATCTGTCTGTCTATTTATCTGTCCGTCTGTCCGTCCGTCCGTCCGTCTGTCTGTCTGTCTGTCTGTCTGTCTGTCTGTCTGTCTATCTATCTATCCATCTATCTATCCATCTATCTATCTGTCTGTCTGTCCATCCATCCATCCATCCGTCTATCTGTCTGTCTATTTATCTGTCCGTCCGTCCGTCTGTCTATCTATCTATCCATCTATCCATCCATCCATCCATCCATCCATCCATCTATCCATCTATATATCCATGTGTGTGTGAGTGTGTGAATGAAGGGACAGGGGAAAAAAAAGGAATAGAAGTTATATTTCTAAGTTAAAAGTAAAAAAAGTATCTTTTATCTGAAGTTTGTATTATATCTCTTGTATTATATCTCGAGAGGAATAGGCATGGGAACTGTAGAAGAGGTAGTGAGCACACACAGAAAAGAAAGAGTGAGAAAGAGACGGAGAGACATGAGCAACAGTGACAGTAATTTAGTAATAGTTGAAGGGCTCCGTGAGCACCCCAGCTGTGGCGGCGCTGGCCAGACTGGCATCCACGCAGGGCAGATCTCAGTGCCAGGCTGTTTGGCCAGAGCTGAAGTCTAGTTGAATGCCCTCAGCTCTGGAGAAACACTGTCATTGTTACTCCCACAAAAACTGTGCAGACGAAGTGACAGTAACACACTTTTACCAGACTAGCATCCAGAGGATGATTTGAGGAGTGTGGAAGAGTAAAAACTCCACATTTACTGTGTGAAAGATGGACTTCCTTTACAACTACACTAATGAGGACACAGCTGAAACATGACATATTGGAAAAAATATACATATATTAGCTATTAATACAGAGACAAGATCAGTATTGTCAGGTCGAGGTACAGTATGTGGGAAAAAAAAATCATAGTGACTAATCTTATCCTCAGAAGGCACACCTGATGCATATCACACACACACACACACGTGTAAAAGTATTGACCATAGCCATGATATGCAAAAAAATAAATACTTCCAACCGGATCACACTAAATGTGTCTTTATAGCACACATGTGTATTGTCGTGTAATTTATACACTAAAGTGAGTTTTTACGTGCATATGCATTGGTTGGTTAGGGTAAGTTTAGGTGTGGGGTGGTGTGTGTGTGTATTACATGCAAATGAATTGTGAATCAAATGCACTCAAAAAACTGCGTCTCATATGCACATTAAAACTCATTTTCGTGTATAAATTACACGACAATACACGATGCGTGTTATAGAGACGCATTT